TCCAGTTAAACAAAAGTAAAACAAAACCTTGCATCTCTATTTTTGTTGTTTTTTTTTCATAAAATTGGAAAATGCCTGCTTCTTTTTACATTATATTTAAATTTCATGTAGAACAGACCAATAGAAATGGTCCAAAATGACTTGGGATACAATGTGACATTCAAAAAAAAAAAATTTTCCTAGTTTTTTTTGGAGATGCGAGGTGGTGTTCTGACAGTGACGATATGTATAGTGGCATGTTGTTTTGTATGCAGCCAACATCTGTTATTTAGTGAAAACTCTTACCTAGTTCCATCTGTCAGCTTTGCCTGAAACCTTCATTCCTTATTTCTCTTTCTCTCTTACCAAACACTGCTTGGTTGGCACGCTAGACCACGGGCTCTGTGCAGATTTGGATGACGCCGGGCAGAATGGTAGAACCATTAACTAGAGAGGCAGTGTGGAAAGAAGAAAAGAAGGTAGAGGAGGGGCGCAGGAGAGAGATCTGGAGGCTGATGGATGAGCACATAGAGGAGGGTATCGTAACTGATAGGGCTGCTAGGCCATTTTGGCTTTGACTTGAGTAAACAAACTAGAACGTTCCAATAGCTTCATATCTCTTTTAACATGTCTGAACTGCTGCTGTCAACAGAGTTTACCCAGCATTCAAATTGTAGCTCAGTAAAGCCTCCATCTCACCAAGCTGCTCCCTGAATAATACAGTTACAGTAATTCTTTGTTCACTGGTCTCAAACTCCCTGCTGTGGTGAGTGAAGTTTCCTCATTAGTTCAGAGCCGGCAGAGGGAAGGGTTTTGATTGGTTTGTTTGGCCCTGTGAACAGCGTAACTCCATGCAGCCGTGCTTCTCTCTCGACTCTGTACACTCTCTGAACTCCACACACCTACAGCACAGGCCATATGGCCAGGAGCCTCCAGCATTTTTCTTGGGATGGAATTAAGCCCTTGTCAATTAAGAGATTACACAGGATTCCATCCACCTGCTTGTATTTCCAGTGCGTTAGCCGTGTGGCATGGCCATATTTACGAGGCAGAAGCCAAAGGGATAAAACACGGCTTCTGCTGAAATGATTAGGTCCTTATTCAGAAAGAGACAGAAGCTACAGGAGGAAAGAAAACCACACGATCCACATCAGTCTCTTATCTGAACCTGGGTCAGGCCACAAACATGACTTTAGCACCATTAACTTTGCTAGTCTAAGTGCAGCATCAATCACCTAAATTAGAGCCAGATATTTCTACTGTGACATTGTGCTTTAAAAATGAACACGTCAGACTCTAAAAGTGTAAAAGTAATATGACTAATGTCACATCTTCAAACGTTTATTCAATGTTCTGTGGGAAGTAAACATAGTTCCTGGAAAAGAAATTAACAATAGAGAATCAGAGAATAAATGAGATATTATGCTTTTAGTCATTGGATAAACATCCAGTCTCTAAAAGAAACAAAAAAAATTAATATAACTTAACAATTTAAGAAAAAAAATCAGGCTAATGTCACCAGTTTCTGTTTTTACAGTCCTTAATAATTTAAAGATGTTCTGCAGTACGAACACAAAAATTGCTTTTTGTCTGTCAACGTCTTTTGAAAGCAGATGTTGTCCAGGGGAATAATTAAAATGAATAAAAATACAGTACAAAAACAGGCAAATGAAAGATTCAGGCTTAAAAATGATTCACTCTTGGTGACAGGATTCTTCAGATGCTTGCGACATCTTCCTCTCTCCTTTCTCTGTAAAGTTCACGGAAGATTTGCAGCACTGAAGCATCATGAATAAGAAAAGGGAATGTATGACTCCAGACTTTCCTTACTGATTCAGATGTGATGCACACTCTTCTCAACAGCATCAGTGAATTGACTGGAAAGGTATTTTACTACCTGTATGCAACAGCAAATGCATGTATTCAACTTGACCGCAGTCGTGTTGTTGAACAAGGTGGTAGGTCGGTTTTCAGGCTGTGAAAGGAGAGTACACTCTTTGAATTAAAGGTTCCAAAAAGGGTTCTTTGGATGCCATAGACCATCTGATTCCAGGGTTAGTTGCTACTAGTCATCCTAAAGCAACCTACTAATTAGTTAGTTGCTACTAGTTAAGACATGACATAAGGATTTGTAGTGCAACTAAATTTAGTAAAAGGATAGTTTGAAACTAACTAGCATTAACCAAAGACTTTACACACAAACCTGAGAACCACTGGCCTGACGATCCTTTCAGTAGATGGTTCTTTAAAAAACAACTCAATTGAAAGTTTCTTTAGGAAATCAAATTGGTTCTTCTATGATATTATTCCAAAGAACCCCTTTTGGCACTTTGTACATATAAATGCTAAGTATCTGAGACTAAGTGCATGCAGCTTTTCCACATAAGTCTCTTTGGCCTTTCTCACTATGAGCATGTGAGGTCTGAAAAACAAAAGGCCAGAAGGCATAAAGAATTTAAAAAGTCTTCATTTTGACACGCAACAGTACTTTTAAGGTATACATAAGCAGTAATCTCAAACTGCTCTCTTAAAAAAGTGGCCCTTCATCTCTTGGAGTTGTATACTTGGGTTTAGTGTAAATATAAAATGCCCTGATATACATACTTAATTTAGAAATAATGAGATTATTTCCATTCAAGGCAAAACAACACTGGAAGACACAGTGTGGTTTAAAAGAAAGTGAAACAGACAAACCGCAGAACAAACGCACAAAGGAAAAACAAAACTGAAAACTTGCACAGAAACAGGGACAGATAATACTGAAGCGGTGTTTCTTCTTTTTTTTCAGGAAAACATGGAAGTGTCTCTCTTACTTCTTGTAAACAACTATTTGAGTTAATTCTCACCAGCTGAGAGACTGTAGAAGGTGGGCCAAGTTTTCTCCACTGAGCCTGATACTGAGCAGATTTGGGAGAGAATACAACACTTTTATCACAATATAATACTGATAACAGGGTAAGTGTCCCTTTAGGTCATGGCTTTCTTTGTCTTAAAAAAGATACTATCTCAATCCTTGAAACTCTACGTGTGTGTGTTTATACATGTTATCTTTTGTGAGCGGAATAAAACTGTACTGTATGTGTCAGAGCAAGGGTCATTTTAGGGCGGGACAGCACCATATTAATCAGACAATGCTGGCTGGCTGACCTTTCACAGCTATTGTTGGCAGGTGATGAGTAAATTATCTGTCAAAGAGACAAAACAGCTTTATAATCGCAGCCACAAACAAGATTAAGACAAAACATGTGAACTGCTGTTGGCCTTACATGTTTATGAGTGCGTGTGCGTGACCACGCGTCTTCCTGACCCAGGTCTCAGCACATGGAGTTTAAGGCCTTTCGTATGTTGTTCACAGTAAGGAGCTAAGAGAGCCTAAGGACAGGTGTTCGTTGCTTGCACTCTTCACTGTTTCTGCATGTGGAGTTTTTCCTTTCTTTTACACTGTTGTAGCACAAAGAGGCACTTAAGGTGCTTTCAGATGGACTTGTTTGAGCTGGATCCTGGAGTGTTTGAGAACCTGATCTGCTCAAAAACATGAAGACCCTGGCACGACAAAGACCTGTACCCACTTGCATTAGTTTGTAGCCAAACTCGAGGATATGTTCAAGTTTACACACTACTAACATTACTAAAAATTGAAAGGTTGTGCTAACATAGTGTCAGTGTTAATTTGATTAATAACTTAAGCCTTACACTGATGCAGAGTGCTGGGCCGATTAAAGCACTGTTGTGCAATAGGTGTATGGAACTTTACCAAAAATCAGCTAATGAACCAACATTTGGAACATGCACTGGATCATGTCATGTCCTGCGAAAAGAACTTGGGTAATAGCTTTTTAAGAGACATTATAATGTAAATGATAAAATCATTTGGGGGGGGCGGGGGCGATATGGCAAAAATATCTTTGAAATTGTCACAATATACAAAACATAGCACAATATTTTGTTTTTCTGAGGTTTGATAGGTTGGAAAAAAAAAACTATTGTCAAAAAAAAGATTGCAATCAATTTGTTGAATGTTTTACATCCTGCACTGCACTAAATCCAATCTAAGATTTAATATGATCTCATTTTAATGTTTGCGTGTTCGTTAAGTACTGACAATATCAAGGATATGCTCAGAAAAAGCCTGTTGTGATATAATCTATCATGATAAATCATAAATATCGCCATATTGCCCATCCCTAAAAACCATCATTCCAGAGAGTCACTATACTACTACTACTTCTACCTAGCCCAGCGCCCAGCCGAAATGTGATTATGTTGGATACATTCCTCCAAAATGTCCTAAATGTTAGGAAACACAGATTGTATGGAATGGTTGATCTGAAGTGCCAAGTTCTCTTAGGTAAGCTAATTAAGCTACATTTTAAGTTATTGCTGACTACATCACTAACACCTCTCAGAAGAGTATACATAGTAGAGCAGTAGCCCAATTATGTAATTTACTACAATTTTCAGGCACTTAACAAGAAATGCTGAGTCTAAGGCATATCGACTTAACTTCCAAGGAAGATCACATTCAGCTAACTTAACTGCTAGCTAGCCAAGTCCAACATGACTAAGCATCAATTCATGACAAACTGAATTACTACCTACCGAGTTAGCAAACTTAACTGCTGAGTACAAAGCTCTGACCCTTCCAAAAATGTATTTATGTAACTGATATAAATCTCTGGAAGAAGAATATCAGCTAGTTGGTCAGTGGTTCCTTGAAAGGTTGTTGCTGAAAAGAAAATATCCTATACCAGCTTGTTCGATAGCTTATCATGGCCAGGGCAGTACTTGAGGAAACATTCATAGGTGAAGTAGGGACATGAAAGGAAACCTTACCAAGCTCATTACGAATTGATTTATATATTTAGTGTGATTGTTTTATCATTGCTGGCAAAATTCATAGAGCCACTGGTCTGTTACACTGTCACTGACCCGCTGGGGGTTTTCTAGAGCATATTATTCCAATTCTATACAAAATTAGTATTGGAAAAAACACTATATATGAAATGAGCCAATACAAATACTGAACCTCAAGAATAATTTGAAGAATTTTTGCAGACACTCCAGGAATTGAATTTCATACGTGACAAACACCCCTCTTCAAAGACACACACTTCTCTCTGTTTGTAGTGTATGAGAAGGCACTTTGGCACGGCACAATAGAAATTTCAGAGTACAAAAAAAAAAGTATCAAAATAAGTTAACATTGCAAAAGTGTCTTGTTCTGCAATACTGTCGTCACCATCACTCATCAAGACTTATCAAAGCGCTTGTGCGTCAAAAACAGGCACAAACCTAAAAACACAAGAAGTGCTGCATTTCAGGACACTTTAACGACTCTTCAAATACAAAAAAAAAAAAAATCTTATATTGCTACTTCATAAGTACCACAAAATATAAACAAAACCAAAGAAACAAATTCCAAAAGGAAAAGAAGAGACACATCTTCTTTTTCATGTGACGAGGGTGCTAGTACTTGTGCAGGATAGGCACTTTGACAGTCTTGATTTCGGCTATGTGGGAGGATTTCTGGATGATGCAGCTTGTGGTGCCAGAGGGGCCGCCATCCTTGGGCTGGGCCAGGTTGGTGAGAGCCATGGCTGCATTGATCTCTCGCCAGTACGTCTCATCTTTACCACGTCCTTTCTCCTTCGGCATGATGCTGCTGTAGACACATATACACAACCCAGTTACAATCAAATACACTGTGCTGTTTGCTGAGGGTGTGTATATTTTTGTGTATGCGTTGCAATCAGTACAATATACTACTTACCTGTCACATCTACTTGATCCATGATCCACAGGCTCTGCAAATGCAACAGGAGAAGAAAGCCAAATGTTAATTTGAAGTCACCCTGGGTTAATGATGATGGATAGCATAATGAGGGTAGTAAATACATTTGGGAGGTGTGTACGTGTATGAAAGAGAGGGAGAAAATAAAAGAAGAAGAGGTTGAGGTAGGAAAAAGAGGGACAGAAAGGCCTGAAAGTGGTCTAAGCTGAAACATAGGGCTTGTATTTGTGTGTTTGTTTGTACCTCAGTGTTATTGCCATAGATGGAGTGTTCTGTGTGCATGTGTTGAATTTGACTGCAGCTTTAAGCTAATGAGGAGGTCAATAGCCCTCATTTAGCCCTAATTACATAATAATAAACATTCTTCTCCGGATCTCGCCCATGCGCTGGCTTACGCTCAGAGCAGGCCAGGAAAACACATTGAAAGGAAAACGTCTATCTGTAAGAACTGACCTATTACTCTGCTCTAGCACTGCTACAGTTTAATAGATCTCACATCTTGACCTGAGATGACTTCTACAGATACCATTTGATACGATTTTAATACAGAAGACTATAAGAATTTGTCCAGACTGACTCTTTTCCGATGCTGTCACCTTTCCGGCTATCTCAGTGGAGCGTAAAAACCCAAAACCTGAATGTGTCCTATATACAGTCCCCTAGAGGCACACGCACACTTCCAGCCCGCATCTACGCTCTTCACTGCTGGATCCGGAGCGAAGCCCGGACTATCGCAGCACAAGCCAGATCTCTGAAGGGCCAAACAGCACCTAATCATCCCCAACGCCTGCATGAGCCGCTGCTAAACTCGTTGTCCTCTCCTCTTCTCCAGCGGTAAGCCGGCACACGTGCTGTGGCTGGTTGGGGGGGTGTATAGCGCAGGCAGTTACCATGCCAAGTGTGCCTCGGGCCAGAATGAGGCTGATTACTAAATATCCTGTTGTTCCCAATGCCTTCACTAACGCTCGTACTGCACTGTGAACCAACACTTCAGCCACATTATCCTCAGCCTGCCTCCTGCTCAAAACATCTCTCCATCACTCACGTCACTCAGACACTGATGTAAAAGAGTGGTGCTGTGTTTTACGTGTGAGGACTTCAGGTTTTTCTTTTTCAGTACATGCTCGTACATTCCTCTCAAAATCCTCTTTGAGCTGCTGTCTGGAAATGTAGATTTCTCTCTCTCCTTTTGCTTGTTTTTCTCTCCCTCTCTCTTTCTCTTTCTCTGTCCTTTCCTCTCTTTCTCTTTTTTCCCTCTTTTTCTTCCTCTCCATCTCCTTCTTTCTGTCTCTCTTTTCCTGTTCTTCACTCTCTCATTGTCTCCCCTTCTGTTTCCCTTCTCTCTCTCTCTCTCTATCTATCTATACACATCTTTTTCTTCCTGTCTTTCTGTTGTTTTCCTCGTTTCCCCTTTTCTCTCATTGCATCTCCCTCTCTTGTTCTTTCTTTTTTCTTTCTTTCCCTTTCTATTTCTTTCTGCCCATCCTCTCTTCATTTCTTTTTCTTATTATCTTTCTATTATCTCTTTCTCAGTTTGCTCCTTCTTTGTATCATTCTCTTTCTCTTTTTTCCTTCTCTCTCTCTCTCTTTCTCTCCCCATGTCTTCTGTTCTGTTTTTCTTTCTTTCTTTCTTTCTTTCTTTCTTTTCTCTATCTGCCCCATTGTTATTACTTTCTCTTTCTCCTCCTCTTTCCTCCTCTCCCTCTCCTTCTTTCTTCTCTCTGTCTCTCTCTTTGTCTCCCTCCCACAGTTCTCATTCCATGTCCTGTTGTTTGTTGTCAGTTCTTTCTTTTTCTTTCTTTCTTTCTCTTCTCTCAATTTTTCTGTTTTTCTTTCTCTCTCTTTGCCTCTGTCTGCTGCTCTTGTTATTACCCTCTCTCCCTCTCTCTCTCTCTCTCTCTCTCTCGCTGATATTTCAGATTTTGTCACTGTCTTTCTGACTCTCTCCAGCCTTTCAAACATCAGGTCTGAGACCTACCTCCTTTCAAAGAATATTTCTTCATCACTCTTATTTTTTCTCCCTTCACAAACACGCGCACACACACACACAAAAACACACACACACACACATGCACATACACACACGCACACACACACGTACACACACACACACACACACGCACACATGCATATTCGTGCACGTGCACACACACAGTCTGCCAGCTAGGCTCTCACAAATAAAAGTGTTTGTGATTTGCTGTTCTCAGGCTGTGCAGCCAAAGCAAATGTAATTATGTTTCTCTTTCACTGCACCTCAGAGAAACTAGACATCCAGAACCTGTTCTGTGTCAAAAGCAAAACTGCTCACTTCACGGCTTCACAGGCCATTTCCAGCCTTGAAAAATGTTACTCTGTGTATTTTTTTCTTTTTTCTCTACTTTTAAAGTTTTGCTTTATATGTAGTGGAATTTTCTATACTCACAAAGACACTCATTTTTCAGCCCTGTAATAAAACACCACAATACTGATTGCAGTTAGAATGGAAAGTATCTTAATTTCTAGTCCAGCATGTGCCACTGCCAGGGAAGAATATGAGTTTAACTGGGGCATGATTCCTAATGAATGATACCACTGTTACTGTTTTCTCCACTGCTTTTGTTTTCTGCATTTTCCTACATTAACCCTTTGCTTATTGTTATGGCGAATGCTGAACGTGCTGCAATGTGCTGAATTTACTCAGTGATTTACATCCTGAAGGGCGGGTTTTGGTGGAAAGTACTCAGCCTGTGACTCAACATCATTTCTGCTAGTTAAAAAAGTAAATGTAGACTATTTTCGATGCTTACATACCTTTTAACTTTTCGAAAAATTTGGGAACAGATGGGAACAAGTTTCGCCCTACATTCCTGCAATGAGCTGAAAATGAAGTTGCAGCTCATAAAACTCGTGTGACGTGTCCTGCAGTGCTAAAGGAGGCGTGTCTCCACCAACTGTGGAGCGACACGCCCCTGGGGTACAACTACAGCTCCCTCCTGCCCTCAGGGGAAAACTCAACAGAAAATTGGATGCAGACCTCAATGCAATTTCCAAACGCTGTTGCCTAAAACATCTTAAACTCAGATTTTTCAAAACATCAGCCGTGCCAAAGAAATTATAAATCCACGATAAATCACCATGTGCTGCTCCTTACTGTTTTGCTGGTTCTTTCTTTCTGTCTCTCTTTCTCTTTTTTTTTTCTGCAGTGTGTGTTCTTTGCTACTGGACGTAGGTTTCTTTCAGCGCTATGGCTGTGTTATACAGACGCTGGGGGACTCGCAGTCTGCTCTTTAATCCTGCGGAGGGGGAGAGAAGAGACGGCTGATGGCTTTTGGCAAAGCAAAGCCTAGAAGACTGCTGCACACTTAGCATCACCATGGGAAATGGAGGAAACTAGAGAGAGAAAATGAGACAGATAGAGTGGTAGAAAGAGACGGGGAGTGATTAAAGAAATTTTGCTACCTCCAGACAGACAGATAGAGAGAGATAGAGAGACAGAGAGAGAGAACAACATACACCTGTCTCTTTCATCACTAACAGATGCTGCTGTTGCTAGCAACAAACAGCGATAAACAAACTGCACTCAGTGCTCCTGCACCAATCACAGCTTGCTCCACAGTGCTCCAGTTAACCACCCAAATAAACACCTGCATAAGGACAAGATGCACTCAAGACATTATTTTTTAACTCTTCTGTGTTTTCAGGTAAGGACGACACATGTTGTATTACTTTTAACATGACCAATGAATTATTACTCTTTATTCAGCTTTAATCATTTTCGTGTCATGTTTAGTTGTCGCCAATTCTACCTGCTTGCTAGGCCTCCCCCAATCACAGAATACTACCAGGCTGGGAGAATGAAGACTAGCACGTGCTTCTTCTGAGACATGTGAAGCTCCATGTCTATTCAAACTGCTAATTCAATGTCATTGGATAGCTTAACATCCTTGGAGAAAAGCACTTTGGTGGTTGAATTTCTGATAAGACCAATGCTTAGACAGATGTGTTCTACAATAAGGGATCTTCAAGGCTTTCTAGGCCTTCTGAGGAAGCCCAATGATTTCTGAGAACTAAAAAGTTTCATTTTTTGTTTATTTTTATTTAACAGATTTATTCTGGTCATTGGGCCTCATTCAGCAATATCTCAATTTTTTTCAGTTTTCTCTTAAATTTGTTCTTGAGAAAGTTCCCAAGAAAAAGTTGACGTCACAATCATGACATGCTCTTAAACCACAGAATTGTTCGCACCTTTGTGCTCTTGAGTGTGTGTAGATTCTGTTCTTACCTAAGAACAAATCCCCATTAAGAAAACATTGGTGAATGTCAGAATCTTCGTTAAAACTGTGCAAGTGGGTTTTAAGAAGAAATTTCTTCTTAGGAATGGTTGGTGAATGAGGCCCATTGTATTAAACTCTACAAGTGTTGTAGTAACTCTTATTTCACTATTATATCTTGATTGTAAATAAAATGGTCAAAATCTTGAAATGCCCAATGGACTAAACTGTCTAATTGGTTTCTTTTCCTGGGGTGCCAAGTGAGCACTCCACCTGGTTAGGCTTTCAGAAGCTGGGCTCAAGACCTTGCATCTTAAATTAACTTCCACCATAATTAGAAAATGACAGAGGAATCAACCAATCATGTTTTTGATTTTCAGTGGGTGGGACCAATTTTGTGATAAAAACTCCTCTGGAAATCCTCCACTATCACTGTCTGCTAGAGGTGTCACGATACACATGTTTTTGTTTCACTGTATTTGTCCCAATTTTATCCCCAATTTAGTTATATCCAATTCCACCCACTAGTTAGGGCTCCCCAAATCACACAATACCACGAGCACTAGGAGGGTGAAAGCTAGCACAGGCTTCCTCTGAGACCTGTGAAGTGAGTGAATACAGTTCATGCTATAAAATATGTAAAAATAGGAATGATTTCAATAATTCTGTTCAACACAATCCATCATATTCCTAAATCATTTATCAATTAGCATAAAACACATTGCTGCACAGCTCTCGGAACTGGAAAAAACAGGTTGCTTGG